CAATTCTTTTATTCTTTTTTATATAATAAAAAAGTTTTCATTTGTTTTTCACTCCAGAAACGTGAACATTCAAATAACCTACAAGTTACAACAAAACGGCACAATCATGTTACAGTGCTGTCCTAAAGAGTTCATATAATCATAGAATTGGAGAGTTGAAAGGGACTCCAAGGGTCATCTAGTCTAACCCCCTGCAATGTAGAAATCACAGCTAAAAAACTAAAGTAAAAGCTGCCCAGTTCTGGGTGCCTGTATGTGACCCCTCCATAAAGACAGCAGAGTGCCCAGCAGGCAGGTAGGGCAGCATTTTTATTCACCTTACCACCCTTCCATCTTGGGTTAGTTTTCCAGACAAAAATTTCCCAAAATTTGTCAAACCTCCTGCTCTGTGGAGCACCCTCCATGATTTTCTAGAAACTTTGATTCTAGCTGTACGCAATATGAAGAATGCTAGTTCTTTATAGTTATGTGGCTTTTGCAAATCGTCAATGCATAAACAATACTACAGTTGGATTGGGAGAGATGGACCTGCCTATTAAAAATAAAATTCCCAAAAGAAACAATTTTATCGCATTCCCACCATTGGTGCAACTGTTACTAGGTCTCTGACAATTGAAAAGTTCGTAATGTAACAAAGACTGCAAGATACAGTGGGGTAGGTATTGTTATCTGATATACCCCATTTATTAATATGGACTGACATTTCTACGCTCTGTTAATGCTACTTCTTGTTGTCTGCAAAGCAGTAAAGGCTACGGAACTGTTGTTCTTCACAGTTTGGACTTATCGATACAGAATGTGCTTTACGTGCCAGACGCCAAACATAATCTGCTCAGCGTTGGACAGCTAAATGAGCGGAACATTGACGTTTCCTTCAAGAACAAGAAGTGCATCATCACAAAGAAAAATGATTATGTATTGCATGCAGAATATGTTGATCATTTGTTTGTTTTGTATTATGATGATGTGGTGCAGGATGACACTTGTTGCATTGCAGGTTCTAACAAAAGTTTGCATGCAGAATGTATTCACGATTTTCATCGAAAATTTGGTCATTTGCATTTTGAGGCAGTATCTAAAATGCCTGCCTTGGTTGAAGGTATGACTATTAAACCCTGCAGGTACCACATGAAGTGCAAAGCATGCGCAGCAAACAAGGTGAAAATGGCTGCGAAAGGTAAGGTGTCTAGTAGGAAAGCTACAGAACCATACCAGGTTGTTCATGCTGATTTGGTTGGACCACTAGCGCCCTCTTTGGGTGAAAATAGATACTTCATGGTTCTCATTGATGCATTTTCTAGATATATTTTTGTGTACAATCTCAAGCAGAAATCGGAGGCTTTTCCTAGGTTCAAGGAATTCTGTGCTTGGTTGGAAAATGTGCATGGTAAGAAGATAAAGACTCTTTTCAGTGATCGCGGGGAATTCACTTCTCAGCAGTTTGAAGCTTTTCTGACTGAGAAAGGAATTCAACACGATTTGTCTAGTCCTCGCTCGCCATGGCAGAATGGACTTGCGGAACGGGCAAATCAGACATTGCTTCAAGGGTTAAAGACCTTGCTGCATGATGCCAATCTTCCAGAGAGTTATTGGGCCGAATCTCTCTCGTGTTTTGTTTACAGTTACAATCGCAGATTATCTTCAGCGATCGGTTGTACCTCTATGAGAAGATGTTTGGCAAGAAGCCATACATCAAACACATGAAGATTTTGGTTCTGACATGTGGGTTCGCTCACCACAAAACTCCAAGTTAGACAAGCGTGGATTGCATGGTATCTTTCTAGGTTATCAGAAAGGGTCTTACAGAATAATGATGACTGACTCTAAGACAATTAAGCTCACGAGAAGTGTTGAGTACAATGCAAAGTGGGGGGAGAATGTGGGAATTTTCCAATGTTATCCTGATGACAGTGATGAGACTGAGGATAGTCAAAAGCAACCACAACAACCCACACCCACTGGTGAAGGTTCTGAGTCTGAATCTGAAACTGAATCGGGTGATTCAGAGGATTTCGAGAGTGCGAAAGCCTCTATGCGACCCTCTGAAAGCTCTGATCAAGAATTGGAGGAACCATTGTTCACAATAGGTCGTTTTTCTCCTAAGAAGGAAGAGGAGAGTGTTGAAGACTTAAGGCTAATTCGTAGGTCACAGAGAGCCACAAAGGCAAACCTCCAAAGAGATTTGCTGATGAGTTTGCTAAGATAGCAGTAACAGCTGTTAAAAGCTCCAAGAAGGTATTTGAACCTTCAAGTTTCCAAGAAATCCAGGGTTTGGATTCAAAGGAAGCTGAGCCATGGTTAAATGCCATGAAGGCTGAGCTTGATTCCTTAGAAAGGAACAAAACATGGGAGCTAGTTCCAGTAGTTCCAGGAATGAAACTGCTTGGAAGCAAATGGGTCTTCAAAGCGAAGACAGATCAAAATGGCAAGATAGTCAGACACAAAGCCAGATTGGTAGCCAGAGGTTTTGCACAGGTACCAGGTGAAGACTATCACGAGACCTATTCACCCACAGTGAGATATGAAAGCATTAGGCTTATGCTCAAGCTAGCTGCAGAGGAAAATCTACACATTAGTCACCATGATATTAATACAGCTTTTCTGTACGGATCTCTAGATGAATCACTTTATATGCTTCCACCTGATGGCGTACAGGTAAAACAGGGATTTGTTTGTGCTCTGAAGAAATCCCTTTATGGTCTCAGACAAAGTGCACGGTGTTGGCACACAAAACTCACTGAAGTATTGTTTTCTCTAGGTTTTCAGCAAGGGAAAGCTGATCCATGTGTATTTGTCAAAGAGGAGGGGCAAAAGAAACTGTACTGTTTGTTTTATGTTGATGATTTATTATTCTTTTGGAAAGATGTCGCAATGTACAATAGCGCCCTAGCTCAACTGAAAGAGCACTTTGACATGAAAGATCTTGGTGAGGTAAACAACTACCTATCTCTGGAAATAGAGAGAGATCAAGATGGTAACATTCTAGTACACCAGTCACGGAAAATTGCTGATGTGTTAAGCAAACTAAATCTAATGGATGCTAACCCTGTAGACACACCGATGACAACAGGTTATCAGGTAGATGACACTGAAGAAGCATTTTCTGACACTACACTGTACAGGAGTGTGCTAGGCAAGCTAAACTTCATTGCCAGATGTTCAAGACCAGACATTGCTGTTAGCTGTAATTTGCTAAGCAGACAAGTCAACAATCCTAGTGTCAAGGATTGGAAAGCTCTGAAACGCGTAGCGCGGTATTTAAAAGGCACTATGCATTACAGACTGAGATTTAACAATCAGAAGTCTGGTGGTCTTGAGATATTTGCAGATGCAAGTTTTGGAAGTGACGCTACAGACAGGAAAGGTACGTCTGGAGTTTGCTACATGTACAATCAGAGTCTATTTGATTGGTCATGCAAGAAGCAAACAACAGTTAGCTTAAGTACTTGTGAAGCCGAACTGAATGCACTGTCTTATTCACTTAAAGATTGTGAATGGTTGTTACAATTGTGCAAAGATATGAAAATTCCTGTCAAATGTCCAATCCAGGTTTACCAGGACAACAAAGCATGTTTGGCTTTGCTGAAGTCTGAAGGTTGTAAGCAAAGCACAAAGCACTTGCAATTAAAGTTGCAGCATGCTAGGGAATGTATTCAGAAGGGACTCGTAACGGTGTCCTATATGCCAGGTAATGAAATTCCTGCTGATGTATTGTCCAAGATTGTATCAAGGGATCAACACTGTACCTATGTGCAGAAGTTGGGTTTGTACTGATATTGTACAAACACGCTGCCCAGTGATGTTCACAGAAAGGGGGAGGATGTTGGTTTCTGCTTTCCTTCACTGTGCAGCTCTGCTTGTCACGAGACAGGTGTTTACATTCCACAGTCTGTACTGTCTGTACTGTTGGAGTTTCTCACGGGAAAGGGAGACTGGATGTGACGTACACTGGTTTCCTGTTTTTCACTGTGTGATTCTCTCCGAGCTGTTGAGGAGAGAGGATGCATTTTCTGCTCATGCAGAGGCAAGATGTCTTTCTGTAATATACCAGCTTTGAACTGTAAATAAAGCTATATAGAGTATGTATCACGTATTCCTCATCCTTCCGCTGGGCACGAGACTCTGCTTTAAATCAACAGTTTGGTGCACTTAATAACGAATGTTTCTAAGTGGCACACATGAAAAACAAACCATGCAAAGAATGAAATAAGAAAGACTTATCACAAAACTGAACACTACCTTAACATGCCTGCTGGAACAAGACAGTCTCAGTAATATCTCAAGTTCAGCAAGTAGGTGGGGGTCTGTCTAATCTCAGGTGGGAGGGAGTTCCACCGGCTTAGGCACTGTTTCTAGTGGTTTACAAGCCATGCCTCTGAGCCACGGGGACCACCAACAAAGGCTTCTCCAAGATGTCCTAAGACAGGCATAGGCAAACTTGGCCCTCCAGATGTTTTGGGACTACAACTCCCATCATCCCTAGCTAACAGGATCACTGGTCAGGGATGATGGGAGTTGTAGTCCCAAAACATCTGGAGGGCCAAGTTTGCCTATGCCTGTCCTAAGACATCCCCAATAGAGGATTCTTCAGCCTTTTCCTCAAGAACTTACAAGACTGGAGACTTCAAACTGTACAGGCAGATTTGCTTCCATGGCAAAACTACTTTTTGTGTACTGGAGATGATAACGTTGCTGCACGGTACATATGATCCTTTGCCACAACAGCAGAGGAACACAAAAGAAGCAGGACCACTCAGGTATGGCTCCTCCTCTCTTTGTGCTGCCTTCATTCCAGCTGGTCCTTATATAGCAGTTTGTAACTAATGCTTGCTGTTATTTTGGTTTTCTCCTCCCTTCTAATCCCTTTTGTGTCAAAGGACTGTCTTATTATTAATCTGAATTTATCTTTTATTCAGTTTTATATGTTTTTAAGAGTTTATTGTTGTAGTACTAGTTTTAGGTTGTATTTTTGTTTTAATGATATATTGTTCCATTTTTTTAGTTGTATTTTAGAAATATTAAGCAGCATAGAAACGTGTTGGTTTTTTTAAATAAATAAATAAATCTCTGATTATTAAGATGACAGATTTTTCTGGCCAAAGAGGGGGATAAAAGGAATGCCTCAAATAAACAAATAATACATTAGCAAGAACAGCATATTTGTATCTATTAGGTTTAACTCCTAGAAGTACTCTGCAGTCCCCTACCAAGAGCTTTCCTTGGATGTTTATCCTCTAACTCTAACGCCCTTCTTTCCAAAAGGCAACCTTAAAAAAAAATCTTCAAAAAATCCAAGGATAAAAAGGAATCCTTTGCCATTTGGGAAGCAGCCAGTTCCTCTCTCCAGAAAAGCTAAAAAACAGGAGCAGGAAGTCACAAGGGGCAGAGGGTGAGAATTCACATGAGACAAGACAACCTAACTCATTTGAGGGACTGTACAAATGTCTATGCAAAAGAGCCAGGCACATTTTTGTCTGCTGTCACTTGCATGCACATAAACTGGATATTTACTATTAATTTTATTTAACCTTAGAAGCCATTGCCAGCCTCTTTTGACTTCCTTTGGTCTTGTTAACCTTTTTCCCCGGTGGCACCTTATAGGAGGAAAACAACCCCCTAAAAAAGAAAGAAAAATAAACTAAAATCCTCACATGCTTAACAGATGCACAAACGCACCTTGGGATGACTGCATTATGGCGCCGAGTTATCACCACCTGCCTCACAATTAAATCTGCAGCACCCTCCCTGGTGGCTTGCACCTGTGACATGATGGTAATGGATGCAAAAAGACCGTAGTGCGCACATGAGGATTGAATGAAAAGACATTTGCCCTGTAAAGCCTCATGGAGAATATTATTGTGTTTTTTCTAGAAACAGGGGGGGGGGAGGGAGGACTTCCTTTTTTAAGCAACTAATTTGCCTTTCTTCCTTCCTTCAAGGGCAGAGTACCACATGAGGCATGCTGTGTATTAGCAAGCCAATGAACTTGTTAATAAAACAAAAAAACTTGTCGTAGCTTGTCAGCCGTCCAGGGACTTGGGGCTCATTCAACGCTGAGTTTGTCCCTAAGTTGTACAATCTCACTGTGTGTTATTCGTGCTTCAAATGTAAGCTTGTCTAAGAGATCTGTTAAGGTGGCTGAAGCTGCCAGGTTAAGAATGTTCTCAGTGCTGTCTGACCATTAGGAACTCATTCATGTGACGATACAGAGACCAAGGAGACACAATGTGTTGCCCAAGGGGAAGGAGCAACAGCCTCAAATCTAGTCCTCTCTCCCACCACTAAATACGGAGAACCTCTGGGCTTCCGTGGAGTCAAAGTCCCAGAGATGGTTCAACCGCACCTTCTTCTCAACTGTTTGTAAAAAAAATAAAAAATCAAACTTGCCATTTGTTCATTAGCTTGGCCTACTGAAACCAGGGGCAGAGGAAGGGGAGTGCAGTGGATGCAGGCCACCCCGGGTGTCACCGGCGACACGTCTCTCCTGGGAGAGACACGGTGGCTTGGGTGTGCGCAGGCTTCACGCTTTCCAAACAGTCTGTCCGCTGCCTCCCACCCAGTTGTAGGGCGGCTGAATGGGAGGAGGCAGGTAGACTCCGGAGGCCCCGTGGTGCGCCCTTCCCCTATGGGCGGCTCGTCCCATCCCTGGACGCGCTGCCCCAGGCACCCAAGCGGCTTCCTCTGCCGCTGACTGAAACCAGATTTTGTTTGGTGGTAGGGCCTGCCCAAATATTCAGTTAGGGATATGATAAGTCATCTGAGCAGCCAGACATTACCCAATGAAAATAAATTGATTGCTTCCAATATAAAATGGTCTGCACTTGAGTATTTGCAAGCATGCACTCTCAGTAGCAATGGTACAACATTCAATTATTTATTAAGGAGAAAAAAGCATTTCATTTTTTTAATAAGTTTAAGAAGAAGAATGTATTTTGAAGAACATTAGGTCTCAAGACTTCAAAAGCAAATATTCCCCCCAATTCTCCTTTTTCTCCCATCCTCACTCTATTTCCACCCCTGCCTGCCCCAAAATGACACACACTTAACAGCACAATATTATACAAACATATTAGGAAGTAAGGCCCAGTCTGTGCATAGTATTGCCTATGCATGTGTCTGAAATCCTGTATTGATTGATCTGGGAGTCAGCTCTACTGAGATCAATGAAACGTATTCTGAGCAGACATGCAAAGGACTGTAAAACTATTTTGGCATTACAATATTTCCTTCCAACTAAGACAGGGGAAATAAGTTTCAGTTGAAAAAATACATTTCCCTAATGTCTGAGAATTGTATTAAAAACACAAAACTTTTGGGTAACCTTAAATAATGGTTGTCAGAATCCCAGGTTTACATACCATGCATTTAAATTGCACCCCCCTCAAGAATCATGGAAACTATAGTTTTAAGGTGCTGCGCATTGTAGCTCTGTGAGGGGCAAGATAATGCATGGTGTATATGTGTTAATGAGCTACAATTATACTCAAACACACACAGTCCTAAACACCAACAGAATGCAGTTTCAAAGTTTCAGCATAATTGTATACCTTTTATTTCCTTACAACCTAACACACACCCACACCCCTCGATGGCTGTTGTATGATGTCGAGCTAAAAATTACAAAGACCTGGATTTTGTCGTTCCTGCATTCTATTTCTTTTCCCTGACTTCCTGTCTTCATGAAATTTTAATCAGGCATTTAAAGTAAATAGCTATGCAGCGTCTTTCTGCCTCTCCGAATGTTTTGGGATGGGTGTTTTGGGTAAAGCGATAGCCCAAAGACCTTGAAAGCATTTAATCCCGTTTGGATTTGGCAAGACAACAGAAAATTAAAACACTGTTCTTTCCACTGCTAACAGCTCTGGTGGGGAGGGAAAAAAGACTCTGATGTGGCAGAAGTAACAGCTTCATCTCATCCCCTTCACTGAATAAAATGATGGGGGCAGCAGCCCGGGGGGGGGGGGGGAGGAATCAAACCAACTGACAAAGGTAAGCTTGTTAAGTCAAGGAAGAAAGAATCCCTCAAAGAAAATTAAAGGCAGCAATGCTGCAATCCTGCCTTAAATCTCTTCTTAATGAAAAACTACAAATTAAAGGCCCTGGCCTCTATTTCTGTAGGTATACTAGGAGAGATTTGCCCAAGCTGTGCTCCTCCATCCCCGCCCCCAAAGTTATGACCCTCTTAAAGAACTGTTGGCAGGTAGCACATTTTATATCAACCTTCCAAAGACATCCCACATTATGGGAAGAATATGATTTATTGGCCCTGCTACACATTTTTATGCTGATAGAAAACCCATTATCTGGTCATAAGGTGAAATAAACTACCAGTCTCCCCCTGACAACGCATGATGAGCAGCACGTAAGGTGAGCACAGGGGCCTCAGCCCAGAAAAGTGAGAAGAAGGACACAGGGGTGCATTTGGAGATTTTTAGTTAGAAAAAAAGCGCAAGCAAATGGTAGCGATGAAGTGTAAAGTGTGGTGTAGTGGTTAAAGTGTCAGACAAGGACTTGAGAGACCAGGGTTCAAATCTCCACGCAGTCATGAAGCTCACTTGGTGACCTTGGGCCAGTCACTCTCAGCCTCACCTACCTCACAGGTATCTGAAGAAGTGTGCATGCACACGAAACCTTATACCCAGAACAAACTTAGCTGGTCTGTAAGGTGCTACTGGACAATTTTTTAATTTTTTAATTACCTAAATCTACCTCACAGGATTGTTGTGAAGATAAAAAATGGAGACCTATGTACACCACCCTGATCTCCTTGGAGAAAAAGGTGAGATTTGAATGCAATAAAATAAAATAAGAAAAAATAAAATAAAATAAAATAATGGAGAACATGCATAGCGAGAAGTTTTTCTCGCTTGCTCATTGTACCAATACATGGGGCCAATCCAATGAACCCAAATGTTGGGGTGATTCAGGACAGAGAAAAGAAAATACTTCTTCACACGGTACTTTGTTAAACTATAGAATTCACTTCCAGAAAATGTAGTAGTGGCTACCAACTTGAAATGCTCTAAAAGGGGATTTGACAAAATTTGTGGAGGATAATGCTATTAGTCATGATGATTGTGCTCCATGCTCTAGGTCAGAGGCAGTATGCCTCTGAATACCAGGTGCTGGGAAGAGGAGAGAGCTGTTGCACTCAGGTTCCGCTTGTGAGTTTCCCATAGATTTCTAACTGGCCACTGTGAGGACAAGATGCTTGACTAGATGGGCCTTTGGCCTTATCCAGCAAATTGTGTGCAAATCAAAGCTGCTGCCTACAGTCCTGGAGAACAACTACAGATATGAGAATCCCATACCCCCAACCGTCCCGTTTTATTTGGGAGATCACAGAAGCCAATCCCAGCTTTTGTTTGGATCCCGGAATGCCCCGTTTAAGACTGGCACTCTTACACAAGTCAGCAGAGTCACATCCAACCCTGCAGATGAGCCCCTGAGTGCTGAATGGGATCACTTTGGCAGTTGTCAAAGGGACGCAGGCCTCACAGAGGGGAAGGAGGTGGCTGGGGCGTAGCTAGCTGCTCCAGCACCTGGAGCAGCGGGGGCGGGGCAATCTGCCCAGGTGAGGCAGTGCAGCGAGCTGCGCATGGGGGCACTGTGGCGAGCTGGCCACAGAGTCCGCCTGGCAGATGCAAGCCCTAAGCTGTCGTTTTGGTCAGCGCGGGGCCCCAAGCCACCACATCATTCCCAGGACAGACACGTGGCTCTGGTGCACTGCAGCCCAGGCCCTGTGGTAAGTGCCGCCCCCTGTGGTGTGCCATTTTGTTACCCCCTCAGGGATGACACCAGGGACAAACCACACCCCCGCACCACCCTTCCTACGCCCCTGGAAGGTGGACTTGGAGAGGTGGCTTCAGCCTGGCAGCAGACTAACAAAAGTAAAGTGGCAGGCGGTTGGTGGTGGTGGCAAGCTGAGTTGGAGGTGGCAGGTTGAGGCAGCCTGGGTGGGTGAGAGGTGGCGGCAGCATAATGAAGGGCGAGCCAAATTTGGGACAGAAAATGTTGGAGCGGATGAAATCTGTTCTAACTTCCTCTAAGGTGCACTGCCCCATTTGCCTGCCATTGGCAGTCCTTCCACACATGCCTGTATCCAGCTATTAGTGCTGGAGACCCACCAATGTGCAACTCTGATTTTTCTTATCTCTTTGGCTGCAAGTCCCACTGTCTGTTGGAGACAATAATCAATGAGTAGAAACTGATCTGTAAATGACACCACAAAAACATAACCAGCATTCACAATATTCAGCAACTGGATTGTGGGCAAATATCTGTATCCCTTGAAACACTTCCCTTTTATTTTTGATTTCCATAAACCTGCAGTCAGTATTTTCTTCCATCTCTCAGAAGAACGCTGTGGAATTTTTGGGAATACACATGTGGCCTCCCTAACAGATACACACACACTTACCAGCCCCAGACCATACTTCTCCCATGATACACTTTCCTTTAAAGCTAGTAAAAGCTTATCATGCCTTGCAGTGGGGCTATTTTCTATCTGTTACGTGAGGCACAACTGGAGATGGATCAGGTTCATGGAAACATTTTCTATCATGAAATGTGGTAGGATTATTTGGAAAAGCTTTTTTAAAAAAAATCCTCCCAGGGCACGTCCCATCTCTAGAAAATGAAAAAACAGAAAATAGACTAAAGGAAACGTTCAGACTTCAATATGCTAAATGTAAGCCAGTGTGACAGCACTGAGTAGATGGTGATTATATGTGTGTGTGCATTGTCATTGACTGTTCAGGTTTCTAGTCCCTAAGGTTGCAGGATGTAGGGTTTGTTAGAGCACCCTCTTACATGGCTTTTCTCAGGCCATCCTATCCTATTTTTGTTAGATGTTTTGTTGTCATGTGTTTTGTTGTTTTCACAGAAACACAAAATTGTAGAGTTGGAAGGGACCCTGAGGATCATTTAGTCCAGCCCCCACCAATGCACTATGCCCTAACCATTTTAATATACTGTTCACTGCTTTGCAGGTCCTTTGAAGCAAAAAGCTGCATATTGGCAAACAACAATAACAGTATCTATAACAACATGCATATTTTACAAAAGCATATTTTAAAACAGAGCAGGAGTGTCTCAATCAAATTGTGGGTTCCAACCCCAATATCCAGGTGAGTTGTGTCTAACTGCATTAAAAAATGAGAAAATAAAATGTGGACTTGTACTAGTCTATGGATAGGAGTGATAGTATTTAGTTGTTCGTGAAGTTTTTTTAAAAAAATGAAAGTGGTGTAAAAAAAAATCTGAGGGAAGAGGCAGCTGGAGTTTAAGGGTCAATGGTTCTGTTATTAATGAGGTTTATGTGATCTGAAATGAGAGTCAACGACCTCAGATCAGTGCTAATCCCGATCTCTGTGACCCGTTTTAATTTAAAGTGCTGCCATTCTAGTTTTACAACACATCATTCTGGGTTCTGATCGGTGAAGAAGTTTTCTGAGGTTTTGGCCTGTAATTAAAATATCCGCATATCCCCCACCCAGTTTATTAAGCACTGCAATCAGTAGTTGTGAAGTGATCGTCTCTCGTGGGCTTTGCTGTCTGGAATAATGGAGTTTTAAACAAGCCGAGGATTTAATCAAAGATGCATTTACAGATGCCTGCGTATTTTGGAACCGTTTCATTTCCAGCGGCAAGCAGGTCAAGGTTTGCATTTGAAACAGTGGGCAGATAGGAGCAGGAATGTTTGTTCTCGTCCTTCAGCACACAGCCCCCACCAAAAGCAGAGAGGCAAGAGCCAACAATCAAAAAGAGCGGCTTGAGGGAGGAGCCAGCTAAATCACGAAGTAAACTTGCAACGGCAGCTTATAAAAATTAAGGACTTCAGTGACACGAAGAGAAACTAATAAGATTAGGGCATCCTTGTGTGAGAGAGAAGATACCCTTGACAGGGCTAGCAAGAGGTCTCACAGTATGAACAAGGGGGGGGGGGGGAGGAAAAGATTGCTCCAGAAATGAGCCTGTACTTCCTTCCATTCCCTTTCACCAATTGCAAAGCATCATTCGAGTCTGCGGCCTTGTCAAGACAAAAGGTACCAGTTCCCCCCACCTCCCGTTTTGCAGTGCCATAAGCTCTTTCTGTATTCTGGTAGCTCTACGCTTCCGAAGGAAGCATCGTTTACACAGTTGGATGCATATTGCTTCAGCGCACCACTGTGCAACTATCATCAGAAACTGGTGTGGCGGTCAGCTAGCCAGCCTCTATTTGGCGTGACCTCTTGACATTTCTAACATCCAAGAAGAGAAAAAGCCACTTCAAAGCAAAGGCAGAAGCAGGTAATGCCTCTGCTTCCACGCAGTTTGCATATTCAGTGGCTTGCATGCTTATAGGCTTGCCATCTCCCCCAAACGCTCCCGGAGAAAATTATCAGATGCTTAGTTTGCCTCAACGAGGACACCAGCTTGAGAGCTGCCATTCCAAAGAAGCAAAAGACTGAGAAGCAATCTATTTAAAGGCAGGGAAGGATACAATCTAGAGACCTGTGTAGAGAATTCCCCTCTTCCCCCTGCCAATGCAGGCTGGAGTAATTTCAAACAAAATGCTTTGGAGCTGTCCTCTGTAAATAGGCCAGATTAACTGCCTTTTGGTTCACATTTTTACATTGTTTGGTTGATGGAATCCTCTGAAAAGCAGATGCACTTTGTATGGCTCGCTAGCAATAGAATGCTAGCAACAGAATGCTATTCAGTCCTACAGTGGCCCAACAGCACTGGTGCGGGATATCCCTTCGTTTGCATATTTATAGGGTCTTACAGAGCGCCACGGAAGCTTGCTGCCAGCAAGTGGAAATCAAGCTGTCAGGGGTTTCTATTTTCATCCCTACCTATAGTTTCCTTAATGACAAGTAAGAGAGGCAGCGTGTGTATTTCCCATCTCGCGGGATTGGGGGGGGGATAGTGTCTTACCTTAGTTTTTACATCTGTGCTACATAGGAATGGGGGGGGGGGAATCTGATTCAGTTTGCATTTAAAAGCAAACTAGTTCACAGTTTCTGAACTGAAAAACAGGCATCCTCTGATTTTTGCACTGTTGTTTTCTAGCTATATAGTGCATGCATTGGGGAAAACGGAATGCAAGAATTAATTATATTGGGGGAAATTGCTTTGTAAAAATGGATATATTTGGCAACATTGCATTCAAAAATGTGCATATTAGAATAAATTTGGTGATGAACTTTCATGAAGTTTTTTTTTTAAAAAAAAAAAAAGAATTGCAAAGTGATGTGGAAAACAGAACTCAACATTGGAAAAAATTAAAAACTGAGAGAAACAAACACTGACAGATTTGACCACCCCTCATTGTACAACCTAGCTTCCCAAAGCTTCAGATTCTGCTTGCTTGCACTTAACATGTACGGAACCCTACAAACATTCCTCCACCTGATACCTAGGTCACCACACACCAGATTATGAAAACACAGTTGTAGGAAGTCACTAGTACCCACTGCTACAGGCAGAAGTGGGTGGCTTTGTTCATTCTGTTAGTGGCATATCCAGACAAAAACACAACAAATGTGAAAAAATTAATTGTGCTTCCCTTGGTACCTTTTCTTTAAAGGAAAAGGGGGGAGAACACGGTTGGAAAAATACCTTTTAAAGTATAATGCAGAAAACACATTGCGCTCTGTTACAATTTTAAAAAGAGGCACGGAATAATTTTAGCATCCTCTTCTTGACCTTTGCCACAAATAATCCATGGATGTAGCTATTTGTAAGGCTGAGCTCAATAGGTCCAAATATTAAT